CCGGGTAACTGTGCTTCTCAGCATTCAAGGTAAAGAAATGATTGTTTTTGTTCACGGTAAGAACTTGTTAACATACCTGGACATTCTCAAACTGAACCATTTCTGTAAGTTCCTCTGAGGTGAAATCAGTGGCCTTAAATTATTATTACCAACCAAATAATCTGAGAAGTTTGCGATCATTAGCACAAATTTCCTGGATGAACTTAAAAAGCAGAGAAATTAGCAGAGAAGTAAGAAAAGTGCTCAGTAAATACACCAAGAATTTTGTAATTTTATTTTGTTTGCTTTTATGTTCATTTGAAAAAACACGGCACTTATCTCACCAAAGAACCACTAAAAGAATTGATCATTTCAGCTCTACAGCCCCCATCTTTCAAGGGAAGTGAGAGGCTCTGGAGCTCTGTGTATAAATCAGGCAGATGCCTTCTTCCATTCTGTCCTCTCTCTCCCATTCCCAGTGGTGCTCCCCAAGTCGATCAGGCTTGAACAGTGGTGTCACATCCTATTCCTTTACCTCCTCTCCCAAGCATCAGCATCACCAGGCTTCTAATGATCTGCATGGGATTCTGACAGATTAGATGGACTACATATGACTCTCCCAGCAGTGGCAGGAAGCAACTCTTTAGTGACATAAATGGCACGGAAACACTGCCTTTGGCAGAAAATGGCTAAATTGCATTCGGAGCGTATTTAATCAGCTCAAAGAGAGACTGTCTTGCATTTTTTTACCAAAAACCAACAAAATGATGGTTTTCATACATCATCCTGATTTGACTGGGTAACTGAAACTCCCACATTAAGATGGCGCACTGGCCACAATGCCTCCCCAAGGCTTTAACAGCTCCAGACCTCCAAATCCGATACTATGATTCCTAGATACTTGATAATAAAAACAATATACTTGAGGGTAACAAACCATGGTGGCTGTTAATGCAGCAGGGGCAGTGGGCCGTTACGTATTTTTGTGTTTGGTGACGACTTCAAACTCTGAGGTTCCTGAGCACCTCACTGAAAAAGAACATAGCATAACATCAGATGGTCTATTTAGGGGTTATTCCACTGAAATTTGCTGGGTGTTTTGATGATGCCATTTGTTGCCTAGTTACCCTTGACAAACCTTTTACATTTGACTTCCTAGGCAAATCATAGTATCTACTAATCTTACCATTAAAGGTGGGATCTGGAGGAGCATTCAAGAATAGTTGAAATCTGCCTCTGATATCAATAAGGTTTTACTGTTCACTGCAAATATAACACATACATGTCAAAAGTGGCTTTTGAGAAAGTATATTTTGCAAATCAAAATTTCCACTGACTTCAGGAATCTCTCCTGAGTAAATAGGAGAAATGGCTTTGTTGTTACAAGGCCAGTGGACAGATCTTATTGAGGGTGCCGGGAAGCAGGATGATAAAGCACTGAGGATGTTCTGTTCTTTCAGTCATCAAATCCTCACTAAGTGACTCATTCAGTGTGAGTTTTGGGTTAGCCCAGTATAGTATTCTTCACAAGAGCCAAAAGCAGATGACTATAGGGAAATATGAAAATATTTGCTTGTTGAATATTCTTCTCATTTCCAGCAACTTGTAGCTCAAGGACTTCGCAAGCTCTAAGCGGCATCGTTAATAACCCTTGATAGATTTCTCTTCCATGAGTCTAACCAGTGTCTCCTTGACCCCACATAAATTTTTAGCATCCATAACATCCTGGTATGAATAAAACTTAGTCTTATAGGGAAATATGAAAATATTTGCTTGTTGAATATTCTTCTCATTTCCAGCAACTTGTAGCTCAAGGACTTCGCAAGCTCTAAGCGGCATCGTTAATAACCCTTGATAGATTTCTCTTCCATGAGTCTAACCAGTGTCTCCTTGACCCCACATAAATTTTTAGCATCCATAACATCCTGGTATGAATAAAACTTAGTCTCTAAATATCTATGACTAATCAATCCTTTAAGCAGCTTCATTGACTTCTGAACTCCCACTGCAGCACTTACTTTCACTATTAATTTAATTTACCATCATCACCTTTCACAGCTAGTATTTTTACTCAAAGCAGTGTACCCTACAGATGGTTCTCTAGAAACACAGGCACATGATTTCCCTTCACTTGAATTCTTCATTAGGTTCAATGCATGACATTAAATACCAGTAGCATGTGGAAGGCTATAAAGGAAGATCAGTGATATGGTCAGGGCTGAAAAAATTGGATCAGAAGGGTTTAAAGATGAATCAAGGAAGGAATGGGTGCAATACAGAAAGAAACTGAGTGACTTTATTCAGTCCTGTTGTTGCTGTTGAGGTGAAAAGTAAGAATATAGATAAAACCTCACAGTAAAACCCCTCTCTCTTATTGACTTACAGAGGTTTAAACTGTCACAAATGTGTGGTCACATCGATCGATAAGAAACGTGGTTGATGCATACACACACAAAGATTCAAGAATCCTTGGTGACATTAGTGACAGTCACATTTTTAAGTGGCATATAAGTGCTTTCTTGTACTCTATATTAAATCTAACGACCACAGGGATTGTCATTTACAGTCTCCTTTCATTAGCTAATGCCTTAGTGCCCCATGAGCGTGCTGGATTTTCATGACCTTAAATCACAGGCTGACTTGTGTATTCTGCTGTAGCAAGCTCAGCTTCTTTGCAGAAGCTAACATCTGGGCAAAGATTAGCAGAAATATCGGTTTCAATTAATACATTTTTTTAGACCCAACCCAAATTAGTGCTGTACCACATAACAAGCAGAAGGTTATGCAAAACAAGAAGCAGCTCCTAAAGCAATAGAGAGACCTATTATGAGTTCTAATCACTAAAGAAAACATCTTTTGTAAGGGTTTAAATGTAACTCTCTTGCTTTTCAAATCTTCTGATGAGCTAGCTATTACTAATGTCGAAAGGTGATGCCTGTCAGCCAAGAACTACATTAGAGTCCATAATTGAATTTCAAGAGTTGTCAAGAGCAGGCTAATAAAATAACTGCTACTAGAAGTGATGTATGAAAAAAAAGGAAGTTCTGGTCTGGCAGGATGCAAAGTATGTTGTGTGGTTTCCCTATGTCATTTCAAATAATATGTTCAATTTTTCTGGGCTACATTTGTCTGACATTCTTCTCTTGTATAATAATGATTCATTATATATAATTTATTCAAGGACTGTAACTCACCTCTACGTGCCTATAAATATTACTGCAGCTAGACATTTGCATTGTAAAACAAATGCGTAACACTGGGATTTATGAAGGATCCTTTTATGTTAGTTCCTTGACAGGATAGGTTTTTTTCTGAAGTAAAACATTGACCTTAAAATCATCTTAAAAATCTAGCACAGAAAACAATTAACAGCTCTTCCTTCCCTGTGTTGTTTAGGTAATTTGACAATTTTAGGGAGGGTTGGGGGGCAAAATATTCCTTGACCATTCAAAATAGATACAGCTATACTGTTGTTATATCAGTATTACTGGGAATGTTCCCATGGTTATGATGGTAATATATAATATCTACCCTCCTGCCGCTTTGCAAAAGCGTGAGTCATTTCTGAGTGGAGCTTTTAGAGGTGGTGGAAGGCAGACAGATGACATTGCTATGAGGAACAGTGAAAGAAAAACATAGTCCCAGCTGGAACAAAGGCTGCACATTGTGTCACTGCACCACGTGGTGTTAATGAAAGGGTGTGGGATGCTGGCATACTTTATTGCCCCTGGTAAATTGGTATGTGGATATGTAGCAATTCTTCTAAAAACGGGAGAAATCCAATGCAAGATGACAACATTCATCGAGGGCACACCAAGTCATGAGAAGCTGGTACCATACTGATGTCCTGACCTGTCTTGCTGCCACCTTCACCAGGCAGAGTTGTTCAGTCTAGAAAAGAGACTGAAAGGAATATTCTTTGTTCTCTTTCTGTGGTGATGAGAGTTAGAAGTAACGAGCTTAAGTTGCAGGAAGGAACAGTTACGTCAAACAGTAGGAAAACATTTTTAATAGGATGGCAAAGAACTGTAATGGCACACCCAGGGAGGCTATGACATCTCCAGTGCTGCTCTCCAGCCAGACAAACTTTTAAGGACAGGTTAGAAAAATGACTATGAGAGATAACACAGGCATAACTACTGCCACTACAAGAATAATTCAGTGCCCATGCTCAGGTAGCTCTCCAGCCTTGGAGAGCTGGAGAGCGTTCAGCCACCATGTCCTGCCCTGGCATCTGCCTATTCTTCCAGTTGTAGCCTCACATCAATAACACCTTGTCCTGGCCAGTAAGAACTGCCACTGGCAGGACACGGGCCAGATGTTTCTGCTTAGGGCAGGATGGTGGACAAACTGGTCTTCCCAGGCCACAGCCAGCTCTGTTCTTCTATGATTTCTCTAATTTACTTCAGGAAATCTTAATCCTTTTCCTTTGCTGATCCCCCACTAAGGGTGAAGATCTGCATTGAGTCTAATGATCATTAAATCCATGGCCCTCAATATAGTAGTTTTAGCAGTATTCAGGCCATGTGGTGGGCTGTAGGCCAAAAATACAGAAATGCAAGCAGTCTCCCTGAACAGTGCTGAATAAAGTGGGGATCAAGATTCCTCAACCCTCAGTTAAATATGCAGTGGTTGTTCACGACACCAGGTAGTGCAACAGGAAGGCTGTCCTGAATTAATTTCTCCTGCCTGCTATTCTCTGCCTGCTCTCTGGCAAGTCATTTATTTTCTCTTGTTCCCTTTTTGCAGCATGGGTTAAACAAGCTTCCTAAATGCACCAGGACACTGTGAGAACAGACAGGATCAGGTACTACCTTTGCCCATATATAGTGTTACCTTTAACTGCTCTGAAAGGAAATATGAGCGCAGCTACATTCTTGGTTTCACACTTCTTTACACAGGGTTTTAGCTGAGCCTGCACTTTAACACCATGTAACGCTCCTCATGTCTTAAATGGAATCCATCCTTTAACTCCGATTTGCTGCTGCTGTACAACCTAGAGAACAACAATAACACCTGCAGGTTAGCAAAATGTTTTATTATACTGAAACATACTGTACATAGACGAGAGCCCATCAAACCAAAATACCTTTATTATATTTTCCATTGGCTTAAAAAGGAAATACTAATAGAGATAATTTCATTATTAAAAATATATATATAACGCTTTCTATTTATTTGTTCTATATTAGGAAGGCAAATTTGGGGATAGTGATATGGCTTAAACATATTAATATTTTCCCTCTGAGGAGCTTGTCTTCACACACACGGAATGAGTTCAGGAATCTCTTTCTACATGACAGCAGGTTATCAACCCACATTAGATGTAAATTCAGCATGTTCAACCAGAGTGCCTGAGCTAGGGAAGAAGAGGGGTAGTCTGGGATGCCTGTTCTACCATGTTTTTCTTTTCCTGCATATTAAAATTTCTCCAGTATATTTTCTTCCTATTTTTTCCTCTGGATAATCCCAAGTTTGTCCTCCCTTGTTTTAACCACTGCTATAGTAATGAACAGACCAGTTTTATCAAAAAACTCATTTTAGCTTAGTGGAATTAATCACCATGGCTTCTTCTTTAAGTTCTGGGAGAAGGGAAGGAGAAAGAGAGAGTGACTCCAGAGAGCAATTCAGAGTTCCTCCATTAGGACACCTGCACTGAATCACCTTCCGGAGAAATCTCTTTCTCTCCACTAACTACAGTGGAAGCCCAGGAAGACTTGGCTGGAAAAAATTAGCCCTTGTGAATCTTGAGTAGGTTCACAACAGTCCTACAGCATCCGAACCTCCTACACACTGCAACCTCCGCATATGTCTGGAGCTGCACTCTTAGCCATCTTCAGTCATTTGCTATTCTCCCCAGGGGCCAGAGATGCATAGCGTCTAGTGTTTGCAGTCCTACAAGTTCTCTTACAAGCTGGCATTTGCGCAACAACAAAGGCAGCAGATTGTCAGGCTTAGCTGGGATTTCAGTGTTTCTCTGAACTACAGAGGAACTGTTACCTATACTTAACAGTTCCTGGTTATAAATTACTGAAATACCAGTCAGGGAGGAAAGGGCTGCTACAAAAATGCACAGGATAAAAGGAAAATTACCTTTCCAGTGAGCTGAAACACTGTCTAAAATGCAGGAACAGCAACCTGTCCTGCCTCAGACCATTTGTTGGAAACTATTTAAAGTTGTTGTGTGCAATACGCTTACCATTTTCAATCAGGACTAAACTGGCTGAAACTGTACTATGTTGATACTAAAATAGTAGTAGACAATCTGTAGTGCTATGTCCTTGTCCACATTCCCTGTAAAACCCTGAAAATCTAAGGCAACATTATACCACAACTGCACTGTTTTGAAAACATCGTGTCAAGCCTCTGCTAGTCAAACTTGCTGCTCTCTATATGACGGTACACAAATGAGCACTGTGATAGTAAAGAGATCTGGTCAATTCTTGCTACTGTCACTTGAGCTTACTGGGAGTTTAGGCCAAGAAGGCATCATTAAATTTTAAAAATATGTATGTTCAAAAAAGACTTGTATCTTGGTTGTTGATAGATTCATTTTCCTGGATATACTGGAGAATGTCCAGTTCATTCATTGTCTGAATCCTGTTTTCCTTTGGCTTTGCCAGTAGAGATGAATTAGTGCTCCTGGGGGCAACTGCTGGCTTCTGAGGCAATGGTGGTTTTGATGGTACCTTAGGTTTCGGTTTGGAGGTTACTTTCAAGAGTTTCTCTAAATCATCTTCAACTCTGGAATGAGAAGAAAACATCAGTAACATCTTGAGAATTTCTGAACCGCTTTTTGTTCTGTAAGAAAATGCATTCTTGCAAAATAAAACTTTCTCCAGGAAAGGATCAACTTTGATGAATTTCTCTGTTAGGAAGAGCTTTCCATAAAAGTTTCAATGTTACCAAAGTAAGAACTGTCTTTTTATAATGAGATTTTTCAGTTCACCATGCAAGTTAATTAATTTTACAGCATGTTTTCAAATGCCTAAATTAAAAGCAATTTGCAATTATCAAAATAAAAAGAACTTGATTTTTGTTTGGGGAAAAAAAATGCTTTTGATCTGTGTCAGGATGGTTTGCTTCCTCAAGAGCTCAGAAATTTTCATGGGATAGTAAAATTTTTCACATTCAGCTCTGCTTCCTCTTCATCCCCATCCCCAAGACTGAGATTGAGCATCTCCCATGCTCAATCATGAGAAACTGGAAAATCTAATGGCTTTAAAAATACTATATTCACATTTTCTTCCAAGAAACTGAAGGAGTTTTGCAATCTGTGAACATACACAACAACTATTTTTTGGTGACTATTTCACTAGGAGATAGACCTATTTCCTAGTGAAATACCTCAAAACACCTCAAACAGTTAAGTATGTTTTCTACCTGGATTGTTTGACCTTATCAAAAGACACAGCATGTTGTGTGTGCCCAACTCTGTACCCATCAAAGCTGTTAAAAGATTCTGAAAAAGCCCTTTTAACAGATAGTCCAAGAGGTAGCTGCCTTTGAAAAATGAATATGTGAAGGAAATGGAAAGAAGGCTGTGACACATCACATCGCCAAAAGATATAGCAGAGGTGGCAAAGTAAAAGTTAGCATAGCTAGAGACGTCTTTACAGGCCACAGTAATTTCTGCTCTGAATCAAAATAGCCTCTTGTTTTGGTCCTCTGAGCACAATGGTCAAACAAAATACCATAAGGAGTAAACACAGTTGTTAATTTCCCAAAGTCTTGATTGATAAAGAATTGTTAAGCAGTCAAAACCCAACCAGCAATCCATGCAGATCATCAGCTGTAATGACCAGCTTCAAAAGTGAAGCGCCTGATAAAATGCATACCTCAAATATGCTTACAAAATACATGACTTCCAAAAAGGCTCCACCCCTAACTGTAGCATACAAAATCAAGAAAGCTAAAGCATAAGAACTGCAAGCAAAAACTTTTACATGGGGGACCAGGAACCAAAGATCAAGAGGAACAGCAGGTTTGTAATATGTAGGTATCTCCTTGCCAAACCCCAGCTCTAGTGTGATACACTTACTCTACGACAGTAGCGTCTTAGGCAGTGAAATGATTTAGCTGTTTAATTGTTGCAAGCACTGATATAAGAACTGTTTTTACCAAACTTCCATATCAATTAAATCAGCCCATTAGGCTGTAACAGTGCCAGCAGTAAAACTCCCTCTGCCTCAGCGAAAGAGTAGCCTGACAGGGAAGCTACAAATGAACTAGGGGACAAAATTAAGGTGCAGGAGTTATTCTAAAGGGACTGGAATTTTCTTCAGTGCTAAAATTCCCTTCAAATAGTTTTACTTAGTTCACTCTTAGAGGACTTGTGAGCGTAAGAAAGTCTGGTCAAGTGATTCTTAAACAAGAAAGAAGTTGGGAGCACATGTGCAGCCCATCCTCTCCCTCTGTCTCTGCTAGAGCACCACGTCAAGAGGTGGCACAGTCCCTCCATCCAGGAGGGTGGGCTGGATGCTCTCTGTTGGTCACAGCACCTATAACCAGCTCGTGGCAAGTGGCAAGGAGCAAATGGAGACATGACTAACGGAACAGACAATAGCTGTTTCTCTCTGGGAGGATTCTCTGAAGCTCCTCATTTGAACCTCTGGTGACTGGAAGGGGTTTGTTGGAGCAGCTCTCCAGCAGCTCCACTCACTGGAACAGGATACCATACAGGGAGTCTAATGAAGGTGCCTTTTTAGTCTGTTCTTCTACAAGCCCCATAGGTAGGCAGTCCCCGGAGCATGAATGAGTCTCACCTCATTTCATGTCAGGCATTTTTTGGTCCTTCCACTCACTTGCCTTTTGTAATTTATATCTTCCTCACTGCCAGGCAATGAGGCCATCTTGGGGAGGGGGAGGTCATCCAGACCCCTGCAAAGCCACTGGGATAACTTCTGTTGACTAAATGGGACTGTGATTTCTCCCTTTCTCTCTTTGTTCACCGGTAGCCTTAGGAGAGATACTGTAAATGCCTCTACCACACAGCAGAACAATTGGTGGGGCCTTCTGCACACGGTTAAAATAAAGTAGGCAGTTAAAGCAAAGCTGAGCTTTTCCATAATTTGGGAAGCGACTTACTCAGGTAACTGGCCAGGACCATGGGGAACATGATCAACAGAAGAGTCAATGTATCTGAGACACTTTATTGCTCCATCCCTCGTGCACATTGTTTGAATGTTAAAACCACAGGTACTTAAAGAGCTTCAGCACCCTCAGCTAAGGATCCCACTATTATTAAGAAAAAATGCGTAATTTCAAGGGTTTCTTTTTTACGTTTGCCCTTATTAAAAGCTGTGAGGAACTTAGGACTGCACTGTCCAGGTTGAAAAAAACTACACTCACCATGAATTGGCCATAAAGTGAACAAGGATTAGCCTGAATTTTCTGCCATATAGATGGTCGGAACACTTTAAGATAAAACCATTCTTGAAGTCAGATCTTTTTGTGACTCCCAAAGGGAATCTAAAAAGGATCAGTTTTAACCAAGGCTAATCTTCTAAAATCAACTGCCTGAACACTAATATCTAAAATTACGAAATACCTAAACAGACCAACTGATGGACAGAGCTGGGCCACTGTCTCAGACCTCTGCACCTTGAACTCTACCTTGTGGACTTTGTGTTCCAGCAGGCAGCTCCTGCTGTTACCTCAAATTTCATGCCCCAAGTAATTCCAGAGATTATATTCTCTTTTATTTAGATAATAAGATTTCTGATGTCTCTTAGTTTCCCTGTGGGTGACATATCCCACCTAACTCACAAAACACCTTGTCAGTGTATTCCTTCCTTCTGAATTCCTCATCTACATAGAAGAAATTAATTTAATTTAAGCCCATGCATTTTTGTTTGCTGCAAACTCTGATATCCAAGAGATAGCACACCTGTGATCACATTGCCAAAACATGTTCTTGTTCTCTTTGCTGTGTAATAAACAAAACATGTTAGGGCTGGTATTTCTGAAGCCTAGCTTTCTTTAGCTGATCTGATGCCTTCCTCCTTGGCATAAACAAATACTGAATGAATCAGTGTCCATGTCATAAAGTTTTGGTCATAAATAACACAAACCATAATAACCAGATGAACAATACATACATATACATACAGATCATACAGAGGAAGCATGATTTTGAACTAGGTGCACTGCCCAGCAGGGGCAGCAGTAAACACAGCTCATTAAACTGATCAGATGGTAGCTTCCTGAATTCTCTACTCCTGTGTGGATCTATATTAATATCTGTGCTAACCACAGCAATGAAACCACTCAGCACAGTCATAAAATACCCCGAAAAGATGCAGTCCAGTAGGTTGTGGGTTTTTTTTGGGGGGTGGTGGTGGGGCTTTTTTTGGTAGTGTGCTTTTAGGCCAAAAATTCTGCAGGAGATGATTTTTCAAAGTCTGGCAGCTGATCATGTAAATCTCCTTTTTTTGTCCTGGATTTTTTAAAGACCTTGGTTAGACAGAAGTCTTTTACAGAGAACACAGCAGATAATATGTGGTCTTTGTCTCAAAATCTGCTTTTCAGTGCTGCAGTGATAGACAAACTGTTTGATCCATTGCCATTTGATCATGTGAGACACAACTGTCTTTGGAAAACTAAAGAGGTAAAATGAAAATGCCTCAGGCAGAGATAGAAACAAGGACTTCTGTTTCTTGAGAAGCAAATGAATTGTTACAGTGCATAACTACCACCATATTTAACTCCAGGGCAGGAGGAGGAAGAAAGAAATCAAGCAACTATTCTGAAATAACAAGGAGATATAAAGGAAGAACCTTTCCATCCCATCCCCCATTTTTTTATAGACAATCAGGCACAGAATCCATGTAATTAATCATTCTCTAATTAGCCTCTTTCTTTTTCTGTAATGGAAAAGCAGTGCCACATTGTTTAAAATTCCTGCCATACTGTTGTGCTGATTCATGGACTCTATTGGTGGAAAATCTCTTTGTTTCCAGACACAGAAAGCAATCAAAACCCTTACTGAAGAAAGGCTGTCATAAGCCCTATGATATGACTGCTAGCATGTGGACTTCAAGAGAATAAACGAGTTCTGACTTGGAGACAGATGCAGCTGCCATCAGAACATCAACATTTTACATGCCACTTCTTTGAACTCTGTTCTGTCTATCTGGACAAGATCTTTGGGGCAGGAATGACTATGTGCGTGTATGGCATCTAGCATGATGGGGACAGTGACCTCTGCTTGCTAGGAATGCTCTAATGAGGAGAATCAGTAATGAAAGCAAGAGAAAAAGACTCCCATAATTTGCTAAAGTATCCAAAAGGATCATGCTTGAAACTAGGTTATGCAACTCACAGTAGTTCTTGCAGAACAGACTTTTATCTTTCCCTATCTTATTATCGGTGTCTTTATTTTGTCTGGTGTTAATTCCAAGTATGAGAGATACCTTAGTGAAGCCTTGGGGAGAGGTGTAATATCACATATATGACTTGGGAAAAGACTTGTGCCCAAAAATAGGCAGGAGGCTTTGAAGTATCTGTTGACCATCACTTCTGCTATGGCCAGTAGAGACAGTGTGATGTCTAACAAGGCCCGTGGAAATTGTACAGGCTGGAGTTAACCACAGGAGTGCAAAGCACAGGGGGCTGTGTAGGAGGTATCTCCCCTCCTGCTCCCGCTTTCCCCTGCAATCCATTACAGGTAAATTCATACTGGTACTTTAACCAGTGCCAGGAAATACGTCTGGACACTGGAACGTGAGAGTCTGTACTGTTGA